CTTTCGGTAAAGTCATTATTTTTCTATTTACGTGACTTTACCGAAAGACACAAAGAGTGCATTATCATTATTTCTGCAGAACCCAATAATTTCACGAATATATGTGAGTTTCGCCCTTCTTGAGCTGACAATGTCGCGTTTGTTTCCATGCGATGTCATTCCCATGACATCGTGCAGACGCTGCTAACTCCATGGTTTCTGCAGGCCTTTTTTTTCTAGCATAGTCATTTAATATGTGGAGCGTTTGTGCATTTGCTTTCCCCCCCACTCACTTTCCCTCTCCTGTGTGTGCTTATTTCCCTTGCCATATTTAGATCTCTTCGTTTTCTCTGTGTTGTATTTACACGTTTGTTTTCACATTCATTCATCTCCTCCCACTCACTGCGTCTGTAAATTACCACCTTCTCGCTCAAAACCTACCAATTTTGCCGGAGACATTGGTTTATTCTAATAGCGGCACAAAAGCGTGCGTTAATTGACAGCCGCATACCTATGGCAATTTGTATGAACAAACAATATACTGAACTATAGTGGAATGGCATTTCATTTTGCTCTTCTTTATCTGATTAATCATCTTATATATATACCATTATGTACTTTCTAAAATGGTCCACTCCACAATTATTAAAGTACACTGTTGCTGCTCTGTTAATGGCGTGTATGTATCTACAGGAGGTATGTGAGACTTGAGATGTGAATAGAGGCAGTCGCTCAATGTGTATATGCGTGCACGAGTATTTTATCACCTATGTGTGAACGTGTGTCTTTGGGTATATTCATGAGCGGTGCTGAAACGGTTAGCGCGCTGCACTTCGAACCCAGTCGCCTGAGCTCGATTCCCAGCCACTACTCACATCAGTGTCAATTGCCACCTGAACCAAGCTTGGATAATGAATTCAGTAACATGTTTGGTGTATAAACATCAACACTGGGAAGACAAAGATGGCCAGGCATGTTATTATGTCACACTACCCATTTGTAAAACACGCTGGCCTTAATGAGTGCCCCTAACAGCATTTGATCTTCCCAATTCCCGATTCCTGTAACATGCAAAGCCTGTTACAATACTCGCCGTTTGCGACATATGTAACCATGATTGTAGCTAAGATCCGTACCGTGTAATCACATCTATACCGTTGCAGGACGCCCACGAAATGGAGCCTAACAGCTTATTGGGCCCTTCCTGCTGAAATAAAAAAATAAAAAAATATCGAGCTAAAAGTCTGATAAACGCTATGGGTGGTTGGAGGGGGGTTAGTATTTGAATCCGTATGGCTCTATTAATATATGAGAGAATATTTGCTTTGTGTTTTTTTTTTGTGTCTGCTGATGGCTGTGTATGCATACATGCATGTGGCGTGTTGTCGAGTTGGTCTCGTTTATGCTTAAGCTCTGAATGCATTCAAAATGCCTTCAGAGAGACGTTGGGTGATAGTTCACATGAAGCACAGGTCAGCTATCGTATCCACAGAATACTGCTGTACTCATTGCTAGGTGTTTTTTCGTGAATTATTAATAAAAGTTGTTCTCTCTGTGTTGCATTTTTTTAGTCACGGTTATCTCAATGCAAGATAAACGCATCGTATTTCAATGGAGATACACCTATAATCATCTTTTATTTGGAATGTTTTCCCCCCAAAACAAAGGCAACATCGAAAGCAATTTCTCAGTTTCCACATTCGTGCCCGAGATATCCTCTCTATTTGATTTCTTAGCATTCATCAGCTGAGATCAAATAAAAATAATAATCTTTTTCTGCAAATGAAATGTGTTACCAAGATAATTTATTGTGGAAGCAATGCAGCCAAATAAATTACATTTCAGAACGAATAAAAAGGAATGCATATGGTAAAAATAAATTATAAAAATCTACACGGACGTATACATTTTTTTTTATTTTGCAATTTTAAGAAGCAAGCGGTGAAACTAGTCACATTGAGCTGATTAAAATCGATCTGCCGGGGTGCACTTTATTTACATCAGTCTTGATAACGGAAGCCCTGTGCCATTTCCTTGGGCGATTGTATTAGTGCTTAACGCACTAATTGCGTTTTCATTCGCGTGAAATAACCATGCCTTCACAAACGGTTCACTCTCTCCTCCAGCGAACGGGCAGCCCCAGAGTATGAATTAAGACGCGGTAGCCTCTTCTGTAGACCACTGCATTCGGTCATTCATGGTGCGGGGACAGGCTGAACGCTGGATGGACGCGACTGCCGATGGTCGCAATAGCGCAATACACAGCGATGCACATCACAGCACCGTCAGAGCGCCGCTGATCACACACCCTACGCAATGTTCTACCTTGTAATACTGTGTGTGTGTGAACCATTAACTCGAAAGGAAAGATTCAACAACAATTTGCTTTCCATTGTGAGATACGTCCCCAAAAAAAAGACACGAACAGCGTGACCGCTTCTCGAAATATCAGACATCACGCAGAAAACCCGCATTGGAACATCGCGAAGAGTGTCATACAATCCTCGATTGTGCCTGCTTCAAATAGAATATGCATTTTTTTTACAACGACTTTGATTACCGGAAATCTATTTGCTCAGTGCTAATATTCAGGAATAATAATACACAGGCAGACAGACCCACCTCGCAATGTGGTACTCTGAACAGCAGTCAATTGCAACCGTGTGTGCAGCTGCCGCTGGAAGCTCCATATGAGCTGCTGTTTCATAGCCCTGAGCCTTTAATGCAATAGTTGGGGGGGGGGGGGTGAGGCACCCATTCTAGATAACACCAGAATTAAGCTCGATAATTTTTTTTCCCTTCTCTCCGCCATTCGGATCACAAGGAAATTTATCTTTGAAACACGTGCCCTTAATTCATTTTATAGTCTTATCCAAAAATCAATTTAGTGTGGACCTCAGAGAGAGAGAGAGAAATATAATAACAAAAAAAATGAGCAAAATGGTTAGGGACAAACAGATTGCAATATTGGTCACTTTTTCATTCTCACTGCCTTTCTGGACCACTGACAAATGCGACACCTACCTCTCACTTTTCATTTCCTTTTTTAAAATGTCTTATCTCTGTTGAAAAAAAACTTAATTTAAGATCCTGAAATTGCCTTTCTTTCTTCAGCCTCTACAGATGACACTATATGAATTTTAACTTTAATTTAGCAGCTCATTTTTACCTTTTTATATTATTGAATTTTGTCCCTTTAATGATTTGTGAAAATAAGTTGTGATATATTTTACTATTATTATGATCGTTATATATTTTTTTGAATTATTGTTGCTTTCGAAATATGTATTTGATGGTTCGTTATGTAAAAGCACACTGGTGAATAATTAAAGCCAGAATCTGAATATGTACAGCATATCATGTATTATATATAAACAGATTAAACCATCTACAGCTCAGGGGATCAGCGCAGACTACTCTAAGATCGGGGATTTTCTTATCTCTGCAATCTTTTTCCCAAAACCTCTACCCGCATCTTAAATGGAACACGGGGGCAGTTCGGTTTGGGTTGGTGTTAGGGTTAGGGCATAGAGTGTGTGCTGTCTGTCATGCGAATTGGAATCGTTTCTTCAAAATTGGCGAAGCGATGCTGTTACTGCCTCAATTTTTTTCTCCCCCTTTTAAAGAGATGTCAGCAGACAGAGAGCTGCAGCGTGACTTCACAGCCTAATCTTCACAGTTACATTTCAAATCCACTGCAACGTTCAAATTGCTATCATTCTCACTCTCTTGGTTTGTCTGACTCCACACTCCAGCCTCCCACTGACCCCCACCCCCCTTTATCCGTCTGAGCAACCTGCGTCTCAAATAAACAACTGGAAATCAGTCCCCCTCCTCGCCAAATCCCCTGTCCATCTCCATGGCTCTGGTTCTCGAAGGGGGGACCCAATATAGCCGCATATTTTCCTTGTGGGGGGGGGGGGGGTTTCAACGTTTTCCATTCAAAACCCATCCAACCGGCACGGAGTGGACAAAATGCTGCAAACGCGCACACACACACACACACCCACACCGCAGCAACGTGTTCAAAGACGACGAGATCACACGCATAGCCTGAACAGACTGTTGGGGCAAGTTGCCGTTTGCGAGCACCTACGAAGGCCGGCACGGCACACGAGGGTTTTGTGGGTGGCGAGCATCATGCCCGACCGCCTTTGTCTCCCGACTGGCGATTGTGTGCGCACGCGTGGATGAGCACAAACCGCAACGCACTTGCAACGCGACGGTGCAGCACCTTGAGTCAGACATACTCACCACACAGCCGCGCACACTTTAGGTCATTCCTGAGCCGACACTTTCGCTGGTAAATACGCGCACGTACACACGCCACGCACGCGCGCGCGCGCACGCACATACACGGACAAGTGCTGTTAGCGAGCACCTATGAAGGCCGGCACGGCACACGAGGGGGTGGGTGGCCAGCACCACGCCCGGCCGCCTTTGTCTCCCCAGTGGCGATATTTACACACCGCGCTCATTTGAGGTTGAGTCGACCTAGCGGAGGCCCAGGACCGGCACAGACAATCGTCACCGGTGTTGGCCGTGATCGGGAATCGTACTCGGGTGGCCGGGTTCGTAGCGAAGCGCTAACCGCCGCTCCCCACACTCGCACGCTCATCCACGAACACGGCCATCGAGCAACGCACGCACGAGGAACAACATAGAAGACACGCGAGTGAATGATTCGGCATGCCACTGCGCGCACGCCCAAGCGAATCTTGCGCCCCGCAACAAGCAAATAAAATCGCCGAGCGAAAAACAAAGCCAGACATGCACGCATCGACAACAAGGCAAAACACACAAACCCACACGAACGGTCTTTTTCACACCCATACTTAATTTGTCATTCACACTTCACTTCAGCACGTACAGTTTGTACACATGTGTGTGTGCCTGCGCACCGCATGCATGCCTGCATGCACGCACGGGGACAGTTTTGCTTGTTTAATGGCATTCATCAACAATTACGACACAGGGGGGGTCGGGTGGTCAGAGGAAAAGAATAATAAACATCAACTCACCACCCTCTGTCTTGATTACGCAAACACAACCCGGAGACTCTTTAATTGATTTTTTTCTTTCTCCGAACCACGGGCTATGAAGTTTTTTTTTTAAAGAACAGATGGTGACACGCGATTTCCTCGAAGAAGCTCCGTCACTTGCACTTGTCATGCCCTGTGAGCGCAGCTTGCTGGCCGGCACAGATGACAGCACGAGGCAGAGTGAGAGAGAGAGCGAGAGAGAACGCGCGAGAGAGAACGTGAGAGAGAGAGAGAGAATGGAGGGGGGAGGAGGTGGCGGGGGGTGGGGTTGGTGGGTAAGGATGAGGAGCGAGAGACGAAGCAGCACTGAGAACCGACGCAGCAGCAGCAGGAGCAGCAGGCGCCGCAGCCGCAGCCACAGCCACAACCTCCTCCTCCTCCGCGTGCGCTCGCTCACTGGAGCCTCCTCTCGCAGCCCTCCCCCTCCTGCTCGCCGCTCTCGGCACCAAATCCACGAGGCGATGAGGTCACAGGTGGGCACAACCACTTCGCCGTCGAGATGGGGGGGGGGGGAGTGTACGGCGGTGTGGCTGGGTACCGAGACGAGGAGGTGGCGTTCGTTGGCTGTGAGCACAACGCAGGTCGGGTAAAGGTTCAAACGACTTAACTTTGCGTTCACTTTTGACAACAACAACAACAAGAAAATAAGCGGTAATGCAGTGGAGACAATAATAGTGGTGGTGGTGGTGGTGACGATCGGCATGGCTGGAGCTCTTACGATTAAAGTAATTTCGTGTGAACTTTAATATGACGGGCGGATTTGATCGCGCCATTTATGCGCGCCGAGTGATTAATTGGTGTTGTTTTACGGAGAAAGAGCAGAGCTCAATGCGTGTCCTCAAGACGAATGTCTGGAGGGTTTTGAATAGAAGCTCCTCCGGTGTGGACGCGACCCTATTGCCTCGAAACCATTCGTGCAACCGATAGACGGCAGCGGCGATAGTGGAACATGTGGATGGCGAGACAAAATACCGTATACATATTCTCGCGAAGAGAAACGGTTTTTAAAAGATGTGCACCCTCAATCCCTCCTTACAAAACATTCTAACTAAGCCAACGATGCATTTATTTCTCCAGGCTTTCAGTGGTGCAAAGCAATTGGCCCGCACAATCACACGCTAATTGCGAGCAATTTGAGACTCAAACTTGGTCCATGATATGGTTAAGTCGGCATGGAAAACTTGAGGTGGAAGATGAAGCCACTTGCATTTCAGATTCAAAGTGACAGCGTGACAAGGGCATGCAGAAGCATCGCAAATGTCTAAGCGATTACATCTTAATCTCAGCACTTTCCAGTTTAAAGGGCTCCACAGTATTGCCTCTGTTTCCAGCAGGAAATCCACAGGGGACGTGTTAAAAGTTACGTCTGTATATAAATGAGATTGCTTGTGCCTGAATTATGCAAACAATAAGTATTTGGAAATATCACGAGAGCATCGTCTCGATTATTTGTATATAGCGCGTGTCAGTTGCCGTAAGCATGTGGCAATAATGCGTCAAATGAATTGCTTGATTGCAAGATCTCCGAGTGTATAAACGTCATTATTCGTGTCACGCTTATAAAATGTATTAGATGGTTTGCAGTGTTACAGGGATATTAAATCCTGTTTGCACTGCAGCTCATGGAAGATTTATTTACACTTTTCCAGTGGTACATCATACCGCCATTCATTATGTCAAAGTAATAAACAAGTTAAATGGTAATGAATGTTTGTATATATCGTGTATATGATCGTGTGCAAGGACATGCACTTTAGTGGCTATCAAGAGAATAAAAAAATAAAAACACGTTGCAGCATTTTATGATTATTCGCCCATTTCACGAGTTAAGGAAGAAGAGAAAAATCAATTTATGCTGAATGCATAAGAAAGTGACAATATTTGATCGGACGGCTCTTGAGGAAGATTTGTCAGCACAATGCTAAATCTTTATTCCCGTTGAGTGAAAAATGCTTCGTGCCTATTTATTTATTTGTTTACACCCCCCCCCCGCCCCCCCCCCCCCGCGTTATATATCTATTGCATTAACAAAAACATTTTAAGCAAAGTGACAGTGTGGATAGAGTGCAGTTCCACGCAGCAATGATGCTCTTGCGCCTGTGGGGCGGCAGCACTTCGCTCGCTGACAACGCGGCCGTGTCTTACATCTAATTATCTTTCACCTTCATGCTCCACTCCCCAGGTCGGCAGTGGCAGGGTGCCCCCCCCCATCACCCCCCCCCCCCCCACTCACTCCCCCTCCAATCAACCCCCATCCTTCCACAACGAGAATGCCAAACCAACACAACAATCAGCACCCACTCCCCCTAAACTCGTCACCACCTTCCGCCTAAACAAACTCCCCCGTGCCACCACCTATCTGCCTTTCCTCCCCCCTCTCTCTACCCCAGCCTGCCCTACCCTTCCCTATCCCTCCCTGTGCGCGCACGCAACCCCCAAAAACCTCGACGAGGCAGCGTTATTACTTACCAAGTCGGGATACCCATCACACCGGTGGCAGCCGATAAGTTTGCCAATAGCCGATAAGTTTGCCAATAGGCAAACTTATCGGCTGGTGTGGTGGTGGTGGGGAGGGGAGCTGGCTCGTTTCGGGGAAGTTTTGTGAGATTAGTAGCGGCTTGGTCGATTGTAGCAATGTAGAGAGGACGGGAGAGAGTGAAGCGCTTAGTTGCTCCACTCGCTTTTTTGTTGTTGTGCCTGGACGGCGGGAGGGGGTTGGATGCGAGGTGCGGGCTAGGCATCGGTGCGCCCAGCCGGGCTGATTGGTGGGCGTTAGGCAACGCGCACACGGGAGCCAAGCGAGCGTGGGTTATGAATGAGAGGAATTGTGATCGCCAAAGTCTGTTAACTATTTGGCTTCAATCTAAGATTATGGTGGTCGTACGTACTGTTATCCTGCAGTCCTTTGAAATGGAATTCATTACTCAAACGTTCGTTTATTTATTTTTTACACATCAATTCCAAGTGGAGATCCCCCCCCCACGTCCACGCGCGCTTTGCTGCAATTTCAATTTAACACATGGATTATTTAAAACATAATTCACCAAGGCTAGTTTGGGTATTGGTTATTCTGGGTGTCTCCCTGACCTGCCCGTAGTCACGCATCTGTCGTAGACCGCCCCTGCGCCTCCTTCCCCATTCCGCCACATTCAAAGTCTTTACACTGCAAACGTTATGCCGCTCATTCACAAACTTGTAATGCTCACCACGTTCTTTTTGAATTCAGCCAAGAACGCTTTGCCAACTGCACCTCAGAGAGAGAGAGAGAGGGGGTGGGGGCGCAATATGACCACGGGAGACAAAAAAAGGCTCCAACAAGATTTCTAACTCTGCACGCAGAATATAAAATCTACTGTTTGGTTGTTTTGTATTGCTCTCCGGTGTGTTTTGGGGTTGTTCTGCGTGGTTGTGTGGAGCACGACGTCGGTATATTTCGCTCCAGGCCCTGGGAGGTTTCTTTTGTTGTTGCGTGAAGAGGAATTTCCAGCAGCCCGTGGATCTAAAGAAGCTCTCCCAGCACGTAGCGCAACTGGTGGGGTGAAACGTCAGACATCGCTCCACGGAATGCACGGACCAAGCCGAAAATTAATCGCAGAAATGTTGATCCTGATTTTGTGCCTGAGTGTTCATCCGAAGAATTGTTCTGACATTTTATTTTCAGTTCCAGTCAACACGTAAAGATTTAAAATGAACGCATTCATAACAATATGAAAATTTTCTGCCGAGTGAAATTGAAAGATGTAATGTTTTGTACTTTTCCAAGTGTTGGGGAAAAAAAGGCTTTTTTAAACCATGTGCGTGTGTTTTCATCCTAAAATGTGCCGTATTATGTTATACCGAATGTGCCTTTGTTTTCTCAGAAAATGCTCAATGAGTATCAGAGCACATTTCCTTGAGCACTGGCTAATTCCCAGTGCTCTGCTGTGCCCTGCACAGTAATGTATTCTATTGGCATCAATTTTAGAATTAGAAAGCACCTGCAATAACTTCAAGGATTCAGTACCGCTGTGCTTGATAATACAATCTTCATTGTCTGTATTGAACATAAAAAATGCATGACATGCCCTAAACGCATCTGCTCTACTTGTAACATGATAATCGTTAACAATTAGTGTGCGATAATGTGTAACTAATTCATTCCTAGCTGATTCCAAGTGCATTGAAATGTCAGTACAGTAGTATAGTAGTATTGCAGTGGTGGGAAGGGTACTGCAGCTGGGAACCGGGTGGGATGTGGCCAATCGTATAAACCATCATGCGAACTCTGGTCATAACCACAGCAAGACTTTTGGCGAGCCATCGAACAAAGGCGCTGGTCACTGCATAGCGCGGCGCATTCAGATGCGCTTCCGCGGCCGTCTGGAACGCTCTTCCTTCCGATATTATGAAGCTGCTGGGAGCTGTGATGCACTTTTAAATCATCATCTCGATTGACAAACTACCGTATTTTCCCGCATATAACCCGCGGGGTATACCACTTTTTTTTACAAACAAAACAAGACCCTGCGTGGTATATGGAGGTGCGGGCTATCTGAAATTTGTTTTACACAAAACACTATTTTTGTGGGTTATATGCATATGCGGGCTATATGCGGGAAAATACGGTAATTTCTTTATAATTAATTTTTGTGTTTAATTTGTCGTCCCTCCCCCGCACCTCCTATTAGTGCGGTTAGCTACGTGCAGTACGAAAAATATTCAACATACAATCGTGAGGCGGCACTAGTGCATAAGTGAGTGTGAATGCATGCGGTGATGAATAGATAAGTCACGTGAATATATTAACCCCCCTGTCTTACGATTGGCTAATCTGGGCTCTTCTGAAACATTCTATATATTCAAACCGCCAGGCTTAAATACGTGGTAAGTTCCATGAGGGGATACATGAGGGCAGTGTTGTATAATGTAGAGTGCTGCAGTTGTAACAGTTTCCATTCACCGAAATAAAAGCTCATTGTCATCCAAATAAATATTTTGGTAATTTGAAGTGTAAAAAAAGGAGTGCCCAGTTGCTAAGTAACCGCTGCCCAATATTGATTTAAAGCTTGCGTGACTGCAGGGATTCATATTCTTGGTTCTTTCGGTAAAGTCACGTAGAAGGGAAACAATAAAAAAAATAAAAATATGAAACAATAACATTATCACGACGTTTCGACTGCAACACAAGCAATCATCATCAGTTGTGAAAACCACAGCAAGAAAATTTGAAAAAAGTGGCGTTTTTTTAAACGTTAGCACCACGGAGAGCGATTTGGCAGTTATTCAGATGGACGAGTCCATCTATGTTCCCTTCTACGTGACTTTTACCGAAAGAACCAAGAATATATAACCGCTGTCCGTTTACTTTTGAAGCAAGCTGAATAGCCCAATGAAAAT